TGATCGGTAAACTTGGTCTTGGCTGGCTGTTCTTGCTGATCTTCTGGAGGAGGGGCTTGTTGCTGTGGTTCCGAAATATCTTTGCTGGAGGCGGAATTGCCCCGCCTTGCCAGGGGCCGGGCTAAGTAATCTGCTCGAGTTTGCTCTCAGGAGCTTTTGTTCCCTGCAAGCTTTCTGTACAGCTTTGGAGGATGAGAGTGAAAATGGCAGCTTCCCAATCTCCACCCCGGAGGAGCTGAGAACTTGGGGCCCCACTCCTCAGTGAGACCCCAGAGAAAAGCAGTCAATCACTCCCGTCTCCCCGGTCTCTGGCCACATTCCATGCTCACCCAGCCGATGACCAAGCGTTTCTAGCTCTGGCTCACCACCCCGTGTGGATTCTCCAAACCCAGCAGATCCCTGCGGTGTGCTCCCGCGCCGCTCCTCCCAGGGGAGGAAGGGGAATCTCCCCAGGTCTGCTGCTTGTTGGGTCCCTGCTGGAAGAGCAGTGGCCCGACTGTGCCACGGATCATGGTTTATGGCAACCCTGAGCTGAGAGCCCACTCTCGGCTCTGTCTGTGCAGCCGGCTTCCCTGCTCTGATACCTGGGAGCTCTGCCACACTCAGGCATCCCCGGTCTTTCTGTGACCCTGAGGGTCCCGAGACCACACTGTCCCATAGAGTGTTCCACCCCCGCTTAGCCACTGGAGCGATGTCCCTCAGTGGAGCTGACTTCTCAAAGTTCCAATTTTGTGCTCCGCTGCTCTATCACTTGCCAGAAGCAGCCGACAGAGCTCCCCCCCCCCCCACCGTCTATCTTGCTGAATATGGCCTTGGATTCACTTCTCCGCACATCCTACCTTCCAGAAAGTGGTCGCTTTTCTGTCCAGAGAGTTGCTGCTATTACTTTTCTTCGATCTCCTGTTTAGTTCATAGGTGTTCAGAATGGTTTGATCCCTATCTAGGTGAATTCCTGACCCAGACGAAAATTTAGGTTTCCTACTCCTGCACCATCTTGCTCCTCCCCCCAGAAACATAGTTTTTAATTCCATCTTTAACTAAAGCAAAGCATTTCTCTAAGCAAAGTATTAGCTAGTCTAAATAGAACTTCAGTAGGCTTCTTCTAAAGTATGTGATGTCCTTGCAAATTTAGGTGCTTACCAGCTTTGCTTAAAAACATGAAACATGTTTCATGTTTTAAGGATTAAGTGAGTAGAGAGTAGGCTTCCTTGGAATTTTTTTTTTATGTGTAAGGATATAACTGTTCTCATTCATGTCTAAGAAGCTAGTAGATAGCATAGCACAGTGGCATAGCCTAGTATAGAACATTGACTTTCAAGTGAGATCTGTATTTGAATCCCTGTCATAACACTTGTGGTCGGCCCCTGGGGAAGTTTCTAAACTTCTGAATTTCACCTGTGAAAGGGGGTTATTAAAACCCACATCATGAGACAGTTATAAATATTAAATAAAATGAAAATGTACATTGCTTAATGTATTCTGCAAGGTAAGCACTCAGTAAATCATAACAATTACTGTTACATTATTAAGGTTGAAACATTCTTTAAAAAAGTTCTTAAACTTCTTAATGACTTTGAAAAGAACAGAATGGCTCATGTTTATTGTAAATTTCTATTTAGACGATTGGATTTCAAATTTACCCAAAATAATTTCCCCAAGATTAACATGCAGCATTTATTCTGCCCTGGTGTTTTAGAACTGGGAAGGAGCTGACTATATGGAAAAAAAAAAAAAGTCGATCTGCTTTCCATATTTTTAGTATTTATGACTCATGATTATAAATATAAAAATAAACAGAATAATACCTCTCGTCTGCCTTATTTGCTGATTATAAGAATCAAATGAATAATAATATGAAATTTCCATATAAAATATCAAGTACTAATCATCACAAAAGGTAAAATATCATATCAATATTATGAGTAGTAATATTGCCATTAGCTACTAATTCTTGTGCATTTACTATGTGCCATTGTTCTAAATGCTCTACAGAGAGTCTTTTTAAAAAAGTTTTTAATTCCATTTAGTTCACATACAGTGTAATATTAGTTTCAGGTGTACATTATGGTGATTCAAGACTTCCATGCAACACCCGGTGCTCATCACAAGTGCACTCCCTACTCCCTGTCACCTATTGAATCCAACCTACCGCTCCCCTCCCCTCTGGGAATCATCAGTTTGTTCTCTGTAATAAAGAGTCGATTTCTTGGTTTGTCTCTCTCTCTTTTTCCCTTTGCTCATTTTTTTGTTTCTTAAATTCCACGTATGAGTGAAATCATACGGTATTTGTCTTTCTCTGACTGACTTATTTTGCTTAGCATAATACTCTATAGCTCCATCCATGTCATTGTAATTGGCAAGATTTCATTCTTTTTTTATGGCTGAGTAATATTCCACTGTATATAGATACACCACCTCTTCTGTATCCATTCATCAGTAGATGTACACTTGGGCTGCTGGCATATCTTAGCTATTATAAATAACGCTGCTATAAACACAGGGGTGCATCTATCCTTTCACATTAGTGCTTTTGTATTCTTTAGGTAAATACCCAGTAGTGTGATTGCTGGATCACAGGGTAGTTCTATTTTTAACTTTTTGAGGAAACTCCATACTGTTTCCCAGAGTGGCTTCACTGGTTTGGATTCCCACCAATAGTGCAAGAGGGTTTCTTTTTCTCCACATCATCACCGATGATTGCTTCTTGTGTTGATTTTAGCCATTCTGGAAGGTGTGAGTTGATACCTCCTGGTGGTTCTGATTTGCATTTCCCTGATGGTAAGTGATGATGAACATGTTTTCATATGTCTCTTGGTCATCTGGATGTCTTTTTTGAAGAAATATCTGTTCATGTCTTCTGTCTGCAAAAGCTTTTTATTTTGATGTAGTCCCAATAGTTTATTTTTGCTTTTATTTCCCTTGCCTCAGGAGACATATCTAGAAAAAATGTTGCTATGGTCGATGTCAGAGAGGTTACTGCCTATGTTATCTTCTAGGATTTTTATGGTTTCAGTTCTCACATTTAGGTCTTTAATCCATTTTGAATTTATTTTTGTGTATGGTGTACAAAAGTGGTCTAGTTTCATTCTTTTGCATATTGCCATCCAGTTCTCCCAACACCATTTGTTGAAGAGACTGTCTTTTTCCTATTGGATATTCTTTCTTGCTTTGTCAAAGATTAATTGACCACATAGTTGTAGGACTCTACAGAGAGTCTTATTTAATATTCACAGAATCCTTATTAGGTAGATAGTTATCCCCATTTTACAGTTGAAGATACAGACAATAGTGCTAATTAAAATTCTAGAACTCTGGCTTCAAAGTTCACATTCTTAATCACTGTACTTCTGATAGGTAAATGGGCTAGGAAATGAAACATAAAACCTATGCAAAATTAAACCTAGAATTCTAGCTTGTTATTTCAATAGTTTTTCAAGGCTAATTATGTGTAATCAAGTTATTTGAAAGTATGACTATTAGAAAGAAGACATAAAAATGGCCAACAGACACATGAAAAAATGTTCAACATCACTCAGCATCAGGGAAATACAAATCAAAACCACAATGAGATACCACCTCACACAGATCAGAATGGCTAAAATTAACAAGTCAGGAAAAAACAGATGCTGGTGAGGATGAGGAGAAAGGGGAACCCTCTTACACTGTTAGTGGGGATGCAAGCTGGTACAGCCACTCTGGAAAACAGTATGGAGACTCCTCAAAAAGTTGAAAATAGAGCTACCAGCAATTGCACTACTGGGTACCTACCCCAAATATACAAATGTAGTGATCTGAGGGGCACCTGCACCCCAATGTTTATAGCAGCAATTTTCACATTAGCCAAACTATGGAAAGAGCCCAGATGTCCATCAACAGATGAATAGATAATGAAGATGTGGTATATATATATATATACAATGGACCACTTCTTGGCCATCAGAAAAAAAAAAATGAAGTCTTGCCATTTGCAATGACATGGATGAAACTAGAGGGTATTATGCTAAGTGAAATAAGCCAATCAGAGAAAGATAATTATCATATGATCTCACTCATATGTGGAATTTAAGAAACAAAACAGAAGATCATAGGGGAAGAGAGGAAAAAATAAAACAAGATGAAATCAAAGAGGGAAATAAACCATAAGAGACTTTCCCTTTTTTTATTATGTTTAATTAGCCAACATATAGTATACATCATTAGTTTTTGATGTAGTATTCAATGATTAATTAGTTGCTTAATCATAGGAAACAAACTGAGGGTTGCTGGAGGGAGGGGGTGTGGGGGGGATGGGGTAACTGGGTGATGGACATTAGGGAGGGCACTGATATAATGAGCACTGGGTATTATATAAGACTGATAAATCACTGGCCTCTACCTCTGAAACCAGTAATACATTATATGTTAATTAATTGAATTTAAATAAAAAATTAATTTAAAAAAGTTTTGACTATTAGAAAGTAATTCTTTTTTAAGCTCATATGTGTAACTGTTAATTCTACTCTTTCAAAAATATCTTATGAATAAAATGCATACTATAGAAGTTTCTGTATTTTATCTAATTCTCTGTGTGCTACTTGAAAGAGGAAAAAATGTATTGGTAAGACTGTGGGTCTGAAAACAAAAAAGTAATTCTGTGATACCTACTTCTCAAATTATTAGGTTTAATGTAAGCTGAGAACTTGACAGGATAATATTTCTGTCACAGACTTTACATACATGTAGATTGATGATGGCTTCAGGGACAATTGTATATTCAAATATGAAGGAAAAACTATTTTCAAATGCTAGAAGCAGACAATAAAAAGCCTAGTGTGCTGCAGGAAATATAACCCAAGCAGAAAAGAGGATGTCAATAATGGAAAAGCAATAAATGCTATAAAGTCTGTCTTCTGTGTTTATGTTCCAATAATAGCATACGTTCAAATTAAACCATGGACTATTTACCCAAGTTTGTTTTTTTGAAACAAAGTTAAATGCATTTTAAAAGTGATAGACTTTACCTCCTTCTCTTTGAACTATGTGATAGAGGTGGACATTGTGTAGAATACATTCCAGATCGTGGTCTGTATAGCCTTTATCATGCATGTCATCCACTGAATCAGGATAGATGACTTGATCGCGAAGACTTCCAAGAGACATGTATGGCCTATAAAACACCAAGCACACAAGAATCCTAGTACAGGGGCGCCTGGGTGGCTCAGTTGTTAGGCGTCTGCCTTCAGCTCAGGTCATGATCCCAGGGTCCTGGGATCGAGCCCCACATCAGGCTCCCTGCTCAGTGGGGAGTCTGCTTCTCTCTCTCTCTTTCTCTTTCCCTCCCTCTGCCCCTCCCCACCACTTGTCCTCTCTCTTTCTCTGTCAAATAAATAAATAAATAAAATTAAAAAAAAGAGAGAATCCTAGTACAAAGGCATTTTAGTTTACTCAGTGTGACATTCTCGTGGTCTGAAAACTCCAGAGCAGGCTTTAAACACCAGATGTCTAGGATTACATTTATTACCTGGTGATTAGTATTTCTCTCTCAGGCATGACAGGATCATACTCTGTTATGTTCATGTAAAAATTTATTGAGACATAGCCACAAGAAAAAGTTGGATATTTTCAGTGCAGAAATACATACTTTGTTTCATTGTATTTTATAAACATTGCTTCTGCATTTCATCTAAAATTATTTGGTTTAAATATTATAAAATTTGAGGTTTTGACCCAGTGATGTGAACAAGCAAAACTTTTAAAAAATGCTATGCATGAGGCACCTGGGTGGCTCAGCAGGTTGAGCGTGGACTCTTGGTTTCAGCTCAGGTTATGCTCTCATGGGTGATGGGATCCACCTGCATCAGGCTCTGGGCTCGGGGAGTGGTGGCGGGGGGAGTCTGCTTGTCCTTCTCCCTCCCTCTCTGCCCTTCCCCCCAACTTGTGTGTGGGAGCATGCTTGCGCTTGCTCTCTCTTTCTCCCTAGGATAAACAAATAAATAAAATCTTTAAAAAATAAATAAGTAATTAAGATGCCATTAATAATAAAATGAATGCAAATTAAAACTACACTGAGTTTCTTACTTTTCAAATTGGTAAAAGTTCAAAAATTTGACAACTCAGTTAGCAAATATAGAGAAACAGGATTGGTGAAAATGCAAAAATTTACAACCTTTTGGAGGGGATTTGGCAAAGCATCATATATTCTGGCCTTTGACCCACTTCTTGCAATTTACTCTAAAGATATAACTTCCAAAAATAACAATAGGAGTGTGTAAGATCCATTGCAGCATTATCTGTAATTGTAAAATATTGAAAACAATCTAAATGTCCATAAAAAGGAGACTGAATAAACTATAGCACCTACACTATGGAGCTGTAAAACAGGTTGTGGACGTTCTCTATAGAGTGATTTTCCATAATATACTTTTAAGTTGAAAAGCAAAGTGCAGAAGTAGATGTCTAGCAGGGTTTCTCAACAGCAGCATTATGGATATATGGAACTAGTCCTTCTTTGTAGTTGAGGGCTATCTTACTTACTGTAGATGTTTAGCAGCATACCTGGTCTCCACCCACCAGATGCTCCTACAGGGGTGACTCCACCCCCAATAAAAAGTCTCCAGATATTGCCCCCTACAGGACAAAACCATCCCCATTTGAGAACCACTAATATACAGTATACTACCTTTATACAAAATGAAAGCAGAATAAGTAAGTATACATTTATCTGCTTACATTTATAAAAGGAAACACCATACACCAGAAATTAATAAAATTGGCTACATACTGGAGATTGGAAAAACAAGGCAGAATGGACAGGGGAGGAAGTGACCTCTCTCAGTATCCTTTCTATATAGTTTTTACTTTTAGAATCATGTTAAATGTTATCATTCAAAAAAATAACATGAAACCAATAACCAGGGAAGGTAGAAACCTTAAAATGAAATACAAACAGAAACAAATGAACTGAATGGTATATCCAGTGAATAACAACCACCTAAAAGGGGGAGGAGGTGCTGGTCCAAGTAACTTGAAACTGGCCACCCAATTTCAGGTGAAGACCAAAAGAACCACAAAGAAATCTTGAACCTTATACGGCAAGTTTCTTGTTGGTAATGATATAGATGTAGCAATTCTGAAACTATTTTACCTATGTTGCAGGACTGACCAAAGAAGTAAATATTTTAATGTTAGGAGCTAGGGTGCTCCCTCTGAAGAAAGAAGATACAAACATGGCAGATGAGACGTTAAGAAAAACTATAATACTTCGTTTGAATTCGAGTGTCAGTATGAATTCATGCTTTAAAAAAATCTATTTCCTATTCTGTCTACACTTGGTATATCCTGACATTATCCTCTGAGAAGGACCCAACATCATTTAGGTAGTGTAGTGGGTTGAACTGTGGACCCAAGAAGATATGCCCAAGTCCTAAACCCCACGTACGTGTGAATTTGACCTTATCTGGGGGGTGGGGGGGAAGGTCTTTGCAGATATAACTAAGTTAAGGATCTCCAGATGAGATCATCCTGGATTAACCAGAAGGGCCCTAAATCCAGTAAGTGGCCTTATAAGAAGAGGAGAAAGGAAGGGAAGGAAGTCATGTGATGACGGAGACAGAAATTGGAGTTATGGTGTCCCAGGCTAAGGAATGCCTGGCACCACCGGAAGCTGGAAGAGGCAAGAAAAGATTCTATCCTAGAGCTTTCTTAGGAAGGATAGGCCTGTCAACAACTTAATTTTGAACTCCTGACTTCCAGAGCCATGAGAGAATACATTTCTGTTGTTTTAAACCGCCAAGTTTTTGGTTACCCAGCAGATTTTGGAAATAGGTAGTGTTCTTCCACCAAAAAAAAAAAAAAAGCATAACTTGAATCATAGCATCAGAAAACTACCAGATAAACTTAACTTAAAGAACTTTCTTAAAATAACAACAGTTCGGGGCACCTGGGCGGCTCAGTTGGTTAAGCGACTGCCTTCGGCTCAGGTCATGATCTCAGGGTCCTGGGATCGAGCCCTGCATCAGGCTCCCTGCTCGGCGGGAAGCCTGCTTCTCCCTCTCCCACTCCCCCTGCTTGTGTTCCCTCTCTCGCTGTCTCTCTGTCAAATAAATAAATAAAATCTTAAAAAAAAATAACAGTTCTGCACTCTATATCAATGTCATTAAGAAAAGAGAAGCTGAGGAGGTGAGATTAAAAGAAACTAGAGCGACATGACAACTAAAATCCAAATTAATTGAGAAAAACAAGTTATTATAAAGGATAGTATTATGACAATTGGCAATATTTAAATATGGAAAATTGTTGGGGTGCCTGGGTGGCTCAGTGGGTTGAGTGTCCGACTCTTGGTTTCGACTCAGGTCATGATCTCATGGGTCGTGGGATCAAATCCCGAGTGGGGCTCCATGCTCAGTGGGGAGACTGCTTCAGGATTCTCTCCCTTTACCACTCTCCCACCTCTCATGCATGCACTCTCTCTCCCTCTCTCTAAAATAAATAAATCTTAAAACATATATTTATAAAAAATTATGGAGAATAGTTGGGGGTCATTGAGAGGACATGACTGCCAGTTGACCATGAGCTGGCCTGGGACAATCAGAGGCTCCTCACCCCCTCACATGTGGTTGGAATGTATGCTCTGACCACCACTCCCATCACTGCAACTGTTTCCAAGGAAGCAGCCTTGAGAGAGCAATGTGTTGTTGGGACCATCTGGATGCTATATGTGACTGAACCCAGTTAAGGCCTCTATACAAACTTAAGATTCTGGTGGGCAAGTGCAGAGATCCACTCACCTTGTAGCTGACCATGACAAACCTCATGTTAATTCCCCTGCTTCTTAAACCTGCCACCTACCAATGTGGAATAGTCTCTTCCATCTCCTTTTGCCCTCCATGTACAGAGGCCAGTTTTTGAACCAACAAAATGTTTAAATTTTTTTTTTAAGATTTTATTTTATTTATTTGACAGAGAGAGAGACAGCGAGAGAGGGAACACAAGCAGGGGAAGTGGGAGAGGGAGAAGCAGGCTTCCTGCTGAGCAGGGACCCTGAGATCATGACCTGAGCCGAAGGCAGACACTTAACGACTGAGCCACCCAGGCGCCCCAAAAGTATGTTTAGGTAATAACATTATACCAGTGCTAATATTCATGAATTTGATTATTATACTATAGTTATGCTAGAAAATATCTTGCTCTTTGGAAATACATCCTAAAGTAGTTAGGGATGAAGATTTATGATTGCTGCAACTTACTTTTAAAAGGGGAGGGGGTGGGAGAAAGAGAGAGTAAGTTGAAGGTTTAAAAGATAAATGTTTTCGTAGATCAGTTGTCTACCTATTTTCCCATAATATGCAAATGATTCAGTTGAAGGACAGATAACACAAGGTTATTTTACAACAGGCTTAACTAATATTTGAAAATACAAATATTTATATTTTAATGATACATATATATACTCATAAAGATTTTCAATGTGATCTTTACAAATATGGGAATCCCTGGTCATATTTTAAAATTAAGATATAGGGGCACCTGGGTGGCTCAGTTGGTTAAATATTCAACTCTTGCTTTCAGCTGAGGTCATGATCTCAGGGTCATAGGATCGAGCTCCAAGTCGGGCTCCGTACTCAGCAGGGAGTCTGCTTGGGATTCTCTCTCTTCCTCTGCCCTTCCCCTGCTCATTCTCTCTCTCTCTCAAATAAATAAATCTTTTTAAAAAATTGAGATATAATTCACATATCACAAAATCCACCCTTTTAAAGTATACAATTCAGTGATTTTTAGTATATTCACAAGCTCATGTAACATCATCTAATGTAACCACTATCTAATTCCAGAACATTTTCTTCACACCAAAAAGAAACTCTATACCCAATAGTAGACAGTCCACATTCTTCTCTCCTCCCAACCCCTGGCAACCACTAATCTACTTTCTGTCTCCATGGATTTGCCTATTCTGGACATTTAATATACATGAAATCATACAATATGTGGTCTTTTGTGACGACCTTCTTTCTGTTAGCATAATGCTTTCAGGTTCGTTCATGTTGTAGCATATAATAGTATTTCATTCCTTTTAATGGCTGAATAATAGTCCACTGTATGAATATGCCACATTTTGTTAATCCATTCATCAGTTGATGGATATTCCAGTTGTTTTCACTATTTGGCTAT